CAGGCATCTCGGCTAGCTATCCTCTGTGAAGAGTCACCCACCGCTAACCAATGCCTCATCACAACCATAATTTAGAAGACTGATTTAAGAAGCAGAATATGAAAAAAAAAATAGGAAACAAACTTCAAAAAACTATCACCTCTGAGGACTGGATTAGGTAATGATCAACTGCACAGGTGGTCTTACTTAAAGGGCTACAAAACTGTTGCTCAAGTAATTATTAGAAAGACAATGGAGTCCACAGCTGATGGTTTGCAAGAAGCTGGGAAAACTCTTTGTTTACAAGTGTGAGAGGAAACAATGAGAGCCTCACTCCCCTCTCAACCCCATTGCAAAAGGACGAAGCAGAAGGGATGGGAGCCATCTACAGCGTTTCAGAGACACCGCAGTGCTCAGGGTGTGGAAGGTCCACACACAACATTACCATTCTCCTTTTGAAGGACACCTTGAATTCCATTTGGCACTTTTCTGAATTTATCTGTCAGGGACAGACTTAAGGAAAATTTAATCATATTTAACTTTTTGGCAAACTAGGAACTTTGGTCATGTTCATAGTTCTATAAAAATTTTTTTAAAGGGGTTATTTCTAATTAATATTTTATCGAGTGATATATATAACAAGAAAGTAAACATCTTGATATCTAATGAAAGAGCAAAAATTCTTTACCAGCATCTTATTTTAAATACAGCAAGAGTCAGTACTGCTTACAAAAAGAAGACGGCTTACAAGGAACCAGAAAAGTATCAAAATAAGGCATAGCCTATTATTGTCACAGATCAGTATTAGGCAGTAGTGTTTTTCCGAGAAGGCACAAGTTGGAAATCTGATTACCCAAAGGTTTAAAATGTGGCTCTGAAGATAATGTCAAATGACAGGAGAACGAACTTGGAATGGATTCCCTTAACTGGAATCAATGGCAATGAATTAGTGACAACGTTAAGTCTAGATACAGTACTCTGGAGTCCAGATGTCCTCTGTTGCTCATAGGTAAATCTGTAAAGGCACTGTGCAAAACGGGGGCAAGCTGGCCCTCTGGTTTGGAGTGCATATTAAAAAACAAGGCACACAGCCTAGAAACCAAACTTTACATGAACTAACAAAAAAAAATCATTTTGGAAATAACAGTAGGTAAGCTGGATAATGTAGCAGGTTCGAAGTCAAACGTCTTGAAGAGGTTTCCTGGACAGCAGGAAGTTCCACCTGTTCCACCTGTTCTTCATTAAGAGACGCTCCATACAATGATGATGATGACGATAATGATCAGAACGCTGATCCCTACTGCCCACATCTTGCAATTCTTCCACCAATATTTTCTCTTTAACTTGGCAGCACTTGTCTCAAATTGAGAAGCTCCTGCCTGCAACGCATCTGCACGGTCATCCAGCTCAGAGAGCTTCTGGTCTCTTTCTAGCACCTTGTCCACGTTGACTCTCATTATGTCCACCACCTCATCTACTTGATTTTGTGTCTGTTGAATTCTCCGATTACTGCCAGTGGCAGCACTGGAACCTGCAGGCGCACCTGCAGACATTTTGGCAGCGGGCGAGGGTCCACGGAGCTGCGCAGCGGGCTGAGGAGGCCGGGGAGCAATGGTTCATCTTTCACTGTCATAGTTCTACTGGGCAGGACTACATGCAAACTCTAAAACTTGTCTTTAGAAAGAGGATACAGGCTCCATCCTTGTTTCTCATCGATACAGTTTGAGAGCTACCAGCTTATATGCAATCCACGTCACCTTTCTCCAGGGCTGGGAACTGACCCAGAATATTGGCAAAAATAAACTATGAGGCCAGGAATCTTTTTTTTAGCCAGGAATCTTTACTACACTAAATGTAGTGCTTTTATATGCTACAGGATCCAGGTTTTCAGCCCAACACACAACAAAAAACACCTTGATGCTTTTTCAAAGGTCCAACTAAAATAATAAAATCAGGGTAAGATTATTCTAGGAAACTGTTAAGGCTGTTACATTATTATGATAGGAATACAGGAAATGCATACCTAATTTTCCAGATAACAGATAATATATATTTACAAAAGACTTCACTTCTAAAAGAAACAGATACTTGTTATTACATTTGTACCAAAATTAATTCTTTTAAAAATACAGAAATATCTTTAAAATAAACCCAAACTTTCATGGATTAAGCTTGCTTATTAACAGTCCTATTCACTGAACACCTGATATGTGATAAATGATTACACACAGAAGTTCACTTAATGCTCACAACCCAGCTGGTAGGTACAGACTGACAAAATGAGGAAGCAGGTACAGAGAACTCAGGACCTGCCCCAAGTCAAAAGCTAGTCAGTACTGGGCTGACATTACTCCAGAAGACCTGAGTCTAGCCCTCATCTCTATTCTGTTCGGTGTTTACACAGCCCCATGTAGCTTATTTGATCTTATCCACAACACCAGTTAAAAATGAGGAATCAGCCATGGGGCGAATCACTGAACATGCTGGTTAAAACACATTTTTTTAATTCTTAGCCCAGAAACATTTTTCTCTCAGATATATAACTATACTGTGAAAGCTGTACCTGTTGCTGGAAGTAAATGAATCTGAACTTGGAAAACTGAAATGCATACATGAAAATTTTGACATTCCTACCACTCCCTGCACAGAGAAAAACAGTAAGGACCTTCGAGTGACAGGAGGTAGGCAAATGCCATCACCAGTCAAGTCGGACATGGATTCCACAGCCAATGTGCTATGTGACCTCAGCAAGAAGGTATTTACATCCCTCAGCCTCAGTTTCTTTGTTTTCCTTCAAGTACTAGGGACTAAAATCAGGGTGCTCTACCGCTGAGCTACATCGCCCAGCACTTTTTATTTTGAGATGATCTCATTAAGATGCCCAAGATGGCCTTGAACTTGTGATCCTCCTGCCTCAGCCTCCCGTGTCGATGGGATTACAGGAATGCACCACTATGCTCAGCTTTGTCTCATTTCTTTTTCTTTTCTTTCTTTTTTTTTTTTTTTGAGAGAGAGAGAATTTTTTAATATTTATTTTTCATTTTCAGCAGACACAACATCTTTGTTTGTATGTGGTGCTGAGGATCGAACCCAGGCCGCACGCATGCCAGGCAAGCGCGCTACCGCTTGTTGTCTCATTTCTTAATGACAGAAAACTTGAACGAAAAAGTATTTAGATGCTCTAGTTCAGTCTTTCAAAATGTCACCTCAAAAGATTTAAAGATATAGAAAGGTAAAAATTACACTTAACCTAAATGCCTCACTTATCTGATGCCATCACAAAACAAAAGTGTTTCACAAAAGCAAAATTTCAAAATAACTAAAATATCCATCTGAATGCCAAACAGCTATTACCTTAGCTTTGGTGATAATCAAAATAATTAGTATTTCAGGCTGGGGCTGAGCAGAGCACTTGCCTATCATGCGTGAGGCACTGGGTTCGATCCTTAGCACCACATAAAAATAAACAAAATAAAGGCATTCTGTCCTTCTACAACTACAAAAAAAATTGATTAATTTTTTTAAATAAATAAATAATTAGTATTTCGAGACAATGTCTTGCTAAGGTTCTAAGTTGCTGAGGCTAGCCTCAATCTTATGACTCCTGCCTGGGCCGCCAAGTCACAACAATTACAAGCATGTGCCACTAAATCAAAATGAATGAATCAAAATCTTGATTAAAAAATGCCTCAAATTTATCGCTGTCTTGGCATTATTTCTAGCTGCTGTCTCAGTGGTATCTTTCACCTGAACCAGGACAAAAATACATGAATTATTCTCCCCGATTTCTCCATATTCCTGCAAGATTTTTCTAAAAATAAGTAAATAAACACATCTAAAGATAAACACGTGGCATGTGACAATCCCATAGGATTGTGGTTGGAAACTACTTTTGGGTCCTACTCCATCTCTCTACCTCTGTTAGTCCTCCTGCTCCTAATACCCATGCTGCTTCTCTTCAACTGCTCTGCTTCAAGTGCCTTTCTCCACTCCTGCTGCGGCAGGGGGAGGGCATATTCTGTTTTTTTAGAGAAGTTCTGCTTCCAGATACATGGAAGTCAGAATTGAGAAACACGGGCCTCCCACATACTATCAAAAGCAACAGCAGGACAGACTGCTGAGTGTTACAGGTCTACACCCCAAGTGGATGCTTCATGAGCACTGGGCAGGAATGTGCGGCAGCTCCCTTTACCAGTCCAACTCTGTGTTCTCTCCACCCTGCTATGTGCTACAACCACGCAGCACCAAGTTTGACCCTGGTGCCTGAAAACAGGGACAAAAATGAAAACTAAGAAAAACATGAGACAAAAGGACATAAAGATCACTCACGAAAGAAGGCAAATAGTCAACAACCCATAGAAAAAAACTTCAACTTGAATTAGAGCAGTAAAACACCACTTTTCCTTTACGTACAAACTGACAAGTGTTTTAAGTGATATGAACTAAATGATGGCAGGGACTTCAAGGAAACGGACCCTCTCCTTCACTGCTATGGACATATAATCTGGTGCTGCCTTCTGCAGGGCACTCTGGCAATATGCAAACACCTTGGAAGGGAATAACCTTTGTCCAGCAATTCCATCCTGAGAATTTTTTTTTTTTTTTTTTTTTTTGAGAACTCTTAAGACACAGTCACTGACACAAATATCTGCTCACCACTGCACCACTCGCCAACAGTGAAAACTGCAAGCCCACAGTGAACAAGCAAAGAACCCATCAAATAAATCATGGTGTATCTATGACAGAATACCACAGAGTCAGATACTATCCTACATCATATCAAGAGAAATAGGCTGTAAAAACTATGTACATACTGTTCAGTTCCATTTATATACAGCACAAAAGCAGGCAAAGCTCTGCCATTATGTCAGGGTGATGGTTTCTACTAGGCAGGGATGGAGGAGAGCAGGAAGGGCACTTCAGTGGTGATTTTTTAAAAAATTTAAGTGCTCATTAGCTGGGGATTTTGAACTTGTGCAAATAAATTAAGCTGCAGATACATGAAAAGAATGTGTATTACATCAATGACATATTAAAGCATATTAAATAATTTCCCCCAAACGTGTACCAGAAACCTAGGTGTCCCTCAATATATGAATGGATAAAGAAAATGTGATATATATACTCAATGGAATATTATTCAGCTTTAATATTTATTTTTTAGTTTTCGGAGGACACAACTGTTGAGAGCCACAACCAAGTCAGGATGGTGCCTGGCATTTTGCCAGGAGTGGTTGGGAGGTAACACCGGCGAGCCATTGGGATGGTGATAATTGGGTTAACCTGTGTATAATTACTGGGATGATGACTGATTGCTGTAACTGGATGATGCTGGATTGGGGCAAGCTGTGTATTCAGTTGTGTATGTGGACCTCTGCTGTCCGGCAGTGGGGCGGCTCCTGCTGCTGTAGGTGCCCGCTACTTTGGAGTTCTCGAGGGGTTCCCGTTGAGTTCCCATGGAGTTCTAGAGAGTTCCCGTGGGGTTCAGGCAATAAAGTAGTTCCTGTTTGAACCTACATGTGGCTCGTGACCTCACGGTTATTTTGTGCCCAGCCAGCCAGACTGCGGCACACAACATCTTTGTTTGTACGTGGTGCTGAGGATGAACCTGGGCTGCACGCATGCCAGGCGAGCGCGCTACCGCTTGAGCCACATCCCCAGCCCATTATTCAACTTTAAAGAAGAGTAAAATTATGGCATTTTCCAGTAAATGATTGGAGTTAGAGGGAAGTGATTCGAGGTAAGGGGAGGGGATATGGAGATATGAAAGATAGTAGAATGAAACAGACATTATTACTGTATGTATATATGACCAATATGATTCTGTAACAAGTACACTTAGAACTTGTTTCAAAGAAACTACTTTAAATCATAAAGTCACGGTGGCATGAAAGCAGATGGATGACCTATTCATTCATCCCCCCCAGTTTTATTCTCTTGATTCGTTCATTCAAATTACTGAGCACCTCCTGTGTTCTCTGTGCTTAAAGGTGCGGACAGCAGCAAGCAACAATGTCAGGAATAATTCATATCTCCAGGGAAGCTCCCCAGGATAGTGACCATTTCTTTTCTTAAACACTGTAATACAGGGCTGGGGATGTGGCTCAAGCGGTAGCGCGCTCGCCTGGCATGCGTGCGGCCCGGGTTCGATCCTCAGCACCACATACCAACAAACATGTTGTGTCCACCGAGAACTAAAAAATAAATATTAAAAATTCTCTCTCTCTACACTCTCTCTCTCTCTCTCTCTCTCTCTCTCTCTCTCTCTCCTCTCTCACTCTCTCTCTTAAAAAACACTGTAATACATTCTGAAAGTCTAGCTACCTGCTAGGCTCTGCACTGACTATACATCCAAAAACCTAGGGAGGCTGACCTCAAACTGACTGTTCAAAATAAGCTCAAAAATAAACAAACAAAAAAAAAAATCAAACAAAATTCCACTCTCACATTGCATGCTCTTGAATATCAATCACTAAAGGTGAAAATCTTGAAAATGAGGAAACCACACAAGCTCCTCCCAGACCTACTGAGAAGGAATCACCATGTACTCTACTACAGTGTGCTCTTGCCAGCCTCAGAGGTACCTTCCCAAACAGCCTGCTAACACAGACTTCAGCTACCACCATTGCACTCTACTCCTCCTCTCCCAAAGCCATGGAGTGCTGTGACTCAGGCCCTGTCCTGGGACTCACTGAGTCTTCAAAACAACCCTATATCATCATTTTCAAAACAAAGAAACTTAAGTACAGAGACACAATTAGCACACAGCATACAGGGGGTAATTTTAGAAGAACTAGGCCTAGGCAAACTTGCAGAGCAAGCAGCAATTGGTTTCTGACCTACTTGCCCTAGGTCCCCACAGGCTTCTGAGCATACCAGACATCCAGCACACCTTGTACTGCAGGTATTCACTCAGTGAATGTGTTCCTTTTCTTTCTTTGGTTTTCTTCTTTCCAAATAGCCTACACAGGGAAGGCCCCCCCACGCCCCCTTTTTTCTTTTAAATCACATCTTTCTTCTAAATTAACTGTTAAACCATCCTTACTAAGGCATTACCCAA